AGAATGTGTAGACGGCGACCACGGAAGGCGGCCCGCTTGTAGAAAAGCTGCTGCGGCAGTCCTCAGAATACGGCACTAAAATGCCTGACAAGCGACTGCGGAAAACAGCACGATTAAGAAGCCCACCGCGGCGGCACACCGAATGGGAGGCGTTGTGACCTAGGAGGATATAGACAGCGACCGCGGAAGGCGGTGCGCTTGTAGAAAACTGCTGTGGTGGCCCGCAAAGCGCGGCACAGAATGCATGACGAGCGGCAGTGAAAGGCAACGCGATTAGGAAGCCTGCCGTGGCGGCACGCCAAACTGAAGGTTTGGTATGGGAACTTGTAGACAGCGACCACAGAAGGCATCGCGCTTGTAGCAAACCGCTGGGGTGGTCCACTGAGTTCGGTTCACAAGAGGCTGCAGGAGGTAGCGTTCTTGAGTAACCCGCAGTGATGGCTTGCCGGATTACAGGCGTGGCGATTTAGGAGTATGTCAACAACGATCACAGAAGGCGGTGCACTTGTAGAAGGGAGACAGGGAGAGACACGTCTCAGACACGGGACCAGGAGTACCAGACACGAAGCGGGGTACAGAACGAGCCACAGCTATTAGAAGGCCGTTACTGTTCCCCATAAAACCCCATAAAGGGCCGACCCACTGATGGAGACCATAAGGGTAGTTGCCCGAGTAAGGTGTGGAAAAGCCAGAAATAAACAATCGTATCAAACACCCTTGCCTGGGAATGTTTTTCAGCTAGGCGTCTTTCTGTATGAGGAGGGGCGAAGGCCAATACAAACGTCATTGGTTGGCCCATCAGGAAACCAGAGGCAAGGATGCCGTGAGGGGAGAAGGGCGCTACAAAACGTCAAGGCCTGCCCAGGCGCAGGCTACGGGAGTACCAGGGAGGGCCGCTAGACTGCCGGGGCCAGTGAAGGTTACCCTGTTAAAACGCAAGGCACGGCCATAGGAGCAGAGAAAAATTGGCCGAGAACTACCGGAGCAGTCGGCTTCCCCGAGCAGTAGGGAATCGGCGAGTGGCAGTGACGAAGATATGCAACCCGGGCGGACGACCAGGGCCAGGAGGGCGGAATCGGAGGACATACGCCAGGCTAGAGCCGAAGGGTCATCCGCTGCCGGCAGACAAGCGGAAAGGGACATCCGGTCCGAATCCAGGGGCCCGGTCGGGCAACAAGTGGATTGGCGAGCCTTGGGGAAAGACGTTGGCTGCAAAACACGGAGACAAGGCCATGTCACTCAGAGGCACGTTCGAGCCCAACGCGGCCTCAGACCCAGGAGCGATAGTGGCATTACGAATCGGAGGATTTTGGGCTCCGAGGACGGCAGTCAACTTTTGTGGGGCGGCGCAAAGAACTTATGGTGATCGGTCTGACGGACGCGCTGGAACAGTTTTTCTGGCGGGTAGGGCAGGATCTCTGCGATGGATACATGAATCACAGGAGGCGAGGCTACGACGTAGACTGACACCCCTTATCGAAGAGATAGCAGAACAACTGGCAGCAGCCTTTCGAACAGCAGCGGGAACCTATCAGGGTGAGTCCAGTTTTCGGGGGAAAGTGTACAGTTCCCCAATTGATGACTACCGCGTGTCAGAGGAGCGATGCGGGGCCAACTTAGGTGACTTATAATGGGTGCCCGGGTGCACCACCCGGGGGTGGTCGGGGGGACGCGGAGACGGGAGTGAGAGAGTTGGAGATACGAAATGGGGAGAGTTTACAGTGGGAGCAGGAGTAAGGCAAGGCAGAGAGGGGGGCGCGCGGAGCGCGGGTGGCCGGGGTGTTTTAGGTTGGCAGGGGGATGGAGGGTGGGACGCCGTGCGTGGTGCGTGGGGCTCGCTTAGGCGGAGAGCGTTACAAAGGTTGTAAGTGAGCCCTTCGTATCATACGGATGCTCGCCCCAACTAATCCGGCCCTTACGGTGGCGGGCTCTTTGACTTCAGAAAT